CTCCTTAATAGGAGAGAGAGAAAAAACTTTTGTGTCATTAGAGCCATTATTACTTTGAATTTTTCCTGCAATTGCAACCAAATTTAAATATGACTGATATACTCTCCAAAAAAGAAGAGTTTGCACAGACTTGAGTTTTATTTTATTTTATTTTCAAAAAAATTGATTTCAGAGAGAGGAAGGGAGAGAGGGAGAGGGAGAGAGAGAGAAACATCAATGATGAGTCATTGATCGGCTGCCTCCTGCACGCCCCACACTGGGGATGGAGCCTGCAACCCGGGCATGTGCCCTGACCTGGAATTGAACCTCGATCTCCTGGATCCTAGGTTGATGCTCAACCGCTGAGCCATGCCAGCTGGGCTGAGTTTTAATAAGCATTAATTAATAAGCATTTGTATAACACCAACTATGTTGTTGGTGGGAAAAAAAGCAGCTGCTTTATTTATTTGGGAGTTATTGTTGGCTTTGTGTCGTCTTTTTTATTGTTCATCTCACCCTATTTTACCGATGAGGAGACTGAGGTTGAGAGAGGAGATGTGACTTACCAAGCTTGCACCTGTAGTAGATAATACTGTCCTTGGTGTTCCCGATCTCATAAATTGTGTCCTGAACACAATCAAAAGAGTCTGGGCGATAATAAGAATGGCTAACATACATGGAGTGCTTATGATGGTCAACCTAACTTTCGGAGACTGAAAATTCTCATTGCCCCATTTACAGGTGAGGAAACTGTAGTGCAGAAGGGAAGTGACTTGCCCAAGGCCATCCAGATGGGAAGGCGCTTGACGTTTCTGTCCTAGTCCTGGGCAACTGTAGGCCTGGCTGGCTAATTCCCCGTGACTCATATCCTCCTGGGGGAAGTAAAGAAAAGCCAAATCCATTCTCCCTCCTGTGAAGTTCAAGACCCAGTCAGGTTTTTCTTGGTTCAAGTTGCTCACTTGGGGGCCAGGACCAGGCAACATTGTGGTTCCTGGCCTCTCTGGGTGGCTCTGGTCCCCCTGCTGTCTAACCACTAGAGGCCCTGGGCTAGGAAACTTGGCTTGGGGACCAGACCACCCACTTTGGAGTCCAAGGGCTGGCAGGGCAGGCTTAGCAGAAGGCAAGGCTGGCCTCCACCCCCTTTCTGTGTTTACCTTTTGAACTTTTATTGTGAGCTTATCTTTAAGGGGGAAAATATTCCATAAACTTAAAATAGTCAAGACTTAATTAATAGCATGCTTTGTTCTTCTGATCCTTATCTGTACAGGAAGACCCACCCCTTTTCAGTTTTGTGGGTCAAGGTGAAACTGCCTCTGGGGGCTCCCAAGCAGCTGTTCATTTTCCATGTTTGAACTCTGGTTCCCTTTGGCTTTTCCCTCCCTGGGGTGGAAGGGTTTTTCCCAACCCCTCAGCCTGAACACTTCACCAAGGTCTTTGCTTCTTACCAAGTGCCAGCATTACATGCTATGATTATTTCTTCTTATGTGATTAATAGTCACCGTGTGCTGAGGATCTCCTATGAGCCAGGCACTCTGTTAAATTCCTGACACCCTCATATGGTGAGTCTTCTTATGTCCATTTTATTTCCATTTTATAGATGAGGAAACTGAGGCCCAGAGAAGAGAAATGACTTTCCCAAGGCCATACAGCTCTAAAAAGTGGAGCTAGGCTTTGAATCTGAGTCTCCATGTCTCCAAACACCCACGACTAGTGTTTATTGAGCACTTAGCTATGGGCTCAAGAGTCCCACAGTGCTAGCTTTACAAACATGTCATTTTTATTTCCCTTGTTTAAAATATGTCTTTTTATTTCTCACAATCCCATGCTGTATGTACAGCTATTTTCTCCATTTCAGAGATGAGGAAACGGAGGCTCAAAGAGGTGAATTCATTTACCCAAAGTCACACAGTGATTAATGGTGGAGCTCTGATTTCCACCAAGCTGTGTCTGATAGGTAGCCTGGCTCAGAGGAAAAGTAGTAGGTTAGAAGCCAACCCCCCTCCCCGATTTTGGCTCCTCATTGTGTGGGGAAATCACCTAACCCTTCTAAACTTTAGCTTTGCATGTGTGAAAAGGGGACACTCTGTTTTCCCAAGTTCTTGAGGTGGTTGTGAGAATCAAATGTCTGGGAACCAATGGTTATTGAGAACCTGCTCCATCAGGGCCTGAATTTACATGCCTTGTCCCCATTTTGTATGGAATTATGGTAAATTTTATCTTTTAAAAATTCTTTCCTGAGCTTTCTGCAAAATGCTTATCTTTCTTCCACAAACAGAAAATAATAATTTATGTCCATTTTGAAACTATCTCATTTAATCTTTATAACAACTGTGAGGTGGGTGATCTTTTTAAAAAATATATTTTAATTAATTTTAATTATAGTTAATATACAATATTATATTAGTTTCAGGTGTACATCTTGGTTCAACATTTATATACTTTACAAAGTGATCACCACAATAAGTCTAGTGAACATCTGTCACATTCCACAGTTATCACAAAATCATCATATGTTCCACCCCGTGACTATTTTGTAACTGGAAGTTTGTGCTTCTTAATCCCCTCTCCCTTTTCTGTCCAACACCCACCCTTCTCCCCTCTGGCAACCATCAGTTTGTTTTTTGTATCTAAGGTGAGGTGGATGATCTTATTTGTATTTTAGGAGAGAAGTGATTAGAGAAAAAAATGGGTGACATAGCGGGGAAGCCACTGAGAAAGGAACTGAGCCCAGTTCTGTCTGTCTGTTCTTATCACTCCATCCAGAGAGGATGCTAAAGGGTTTGAAGTTAATTTTTTAAATAGACTTTATTTTTTTAGAGCAGTTTTAGGTTCACAGCAGGTACACAGTGTTCCCACATTACCCCCACCATCAACTACTCCCACTATCTATACCCCCCACCAGAGTGGGGCATTTGTTACAATCGATGAACCTACCCTGACACATCATCATCACTCAAAAGCTAGTTGACATTAGGGTTCACTCTTGGTGTTGTCCACTCTGTGGACTTGGACAAATGTATAAATGATATGTACTGACATTACAGAAATTTCATTTTACCTGAAAGGTAGCCTTATCCACAAGCAGCTGAATCTCAAAAATGGGGCCAAGCTCTTCAGTACAAGGGTAATCCAGGCAGGTGTAGAACCTGAAGAGCCCAGTGGGGCTTAGTCAGGAATCTTGTTCACTTCCTGCGGTCACCAAGGATCTGGGGGGCTGAGAGAAGGCTTAAAGTTAAGGCCTTTTGAGGAAGGTTCAATCCATTTTTGGGGATAGTTTCCTCCTGAACTAGACTGCCTTGAGGATAAAATAAACGTGAGCTCCCGGAGGCAGAGAAGTACGTGGCTAGAACACGGGCTCTGCAGGTGGGCTCTCTGGGTGGGTGGGGATAGGAAGCCCCCATCACCTCTGCTCTGAGGGCTAGTCAAGCTCTAACTCGTCAGGTTCTTCCAAAGATGACAGTTTTCAGAGAAGAGAGTGAGATTAGAAACCCAAGTGCAGGGCCCCAGAGAGGCCTTGGGAGGGAAAAAATGTCTGTGGGAGGAAGCAAGTCCAGATCCTTGCAAATCAGGGAGAAAAAAGCGGGCCTAGGAGGGGACAATCCAAAGGTTACTCATGTGTGACCTCGGGGCTGGGGAAGGAATTCTGATGCATTTAAAAACCCTCTGTGGTGCGTGTGGGGAGGGCTAAAAACACACCCTATTGATACTCTCCTTTTTGTTCCTTCATAGCCCTCGTTGTTCTAATTAATTGAATCGTGGGACTCTGATTCTCATGCAGGGTGCCCAGGGTGTTTTTGTTCACTGCTGCACAAAGCTCATTGCCTGGCCCCCCAGGAGGCAGGGTTGTCAGATAAAATGCAAAAGCCCAGTTAAATCTGAATTTTAGACAGTTATTTTTTTTTTTTAGTATAAGCATGTCCCATTTGTTTATCTGAAATTCAAATTTAACTGGGCTTCCCGTATTTTATCCGCTAAATCTGACCACCCTAGTAGTAGGGTCTCTATAAATATTTGTGGAACAAATAGGTAAATGGGTTTTCGTCCTGGCAGTGCCCTGAACTTGCTGTGTGACCCTTTGGGCAACACTCCCCCGGTCTCTGAGCCTGTTTCTCTGTCTGAAAAGGGGGAGTAGGGGCAGGGAGCGCCGATGTCAGCACTGGGTGAGCTGTCAAGAGGGCAGACGGAGTTCAGGTCTGGCTGGTGCGGATCCTCCAGGCTGCGCTCCGCCCGCGACTCTCCTCGCGTGGGCTGGGGAAGCCCTGGCCGTGCGCCCCCCTCCCACGCTGCGGCCGCCCCAGGCCGTTGCCGTGGAGACCAGGGTAGCCTGTAGCCCCTCCCCCACAGAGCCACGCGTTTCCGCTGCGTTGGAGCCTCCTGATTGGGCGGCCGTGTGGACGCTACCACCAGCCCCGAACCCGCTAAGGGGTGGGGGCGGGGCCTTGACCTCGTGGGACTCTGCCCTGGAGATCTGTGCCTGTGGCCTCTGCACGGGAGGATCGGTTCTCTAACTCACGCAGGGAGAAAGACTCTCGGGTCGGAAGGGTGTCCACTGCTTCTACTAGAGCTTATGTTCATGCCTCTCCCTGAGAAAGAGGGTGAGGGAACTCGGCCACGCCCCCTCTCGAGCCTATTCGGTCTTAGGATCTGGAGCACCGGAAGTTCTGGCGACGTGTCGGTGCGCTCTATTCTAAACGTCCCTCCCTAGGCCACCTTTCCTATTCAGCTGCGGGATTCCGGGGCCGCCTGGGCGCCGCACCTCGCGACTTCCGTATTGAAACACCGTTTCAACCGAACTCCGAGCGTCTGCGCGCGCTCCCTCTGGTGCCCGACGGTTGGGCCGGCGCCTGGGAGTAGCCACGCCCTTCCCCGCTCCTGGCAGCCAATGAACGAACGTCTCCCGGCGGGGTGTTGGGTAATTAATGAGCACCGGGCGTTGATTGGCTGCAGATCGTGGCCGGGGGCTGGGCGACGGGGTAGGTTGGTCCTGAGGTGGGAGGCGGCCGCCGTGGCTGAGAAGGAGGCCTGAGAACGACATGTCCCCGGCGGTTGAGGCAGAGCGGCCCGTGGCGCTGTTTCTCTGAGTCCAGGGCGGCCTGGAGGCCGGCTGAGGACGACGGTTGGCGGAGGCTGCCCCGGCTGTGGTGGCCGCCATGCTGGGGGCCCGGGCGGTTGAGGGAGACGCTGTGGCGCTTCTGCGACTGCTGCTGCTGCTCGGCGTGGTTGGCTCGGCGGGAGCCGGGTTGCCCGAGAGCGTTATTTGGGCCGTCAACGCGGGCGGCGAGGCGCATGTGGACGTGCACGGGATCCACTTCCGCAAGGACCCTTTGGAAGGCCGGGTGGGCCGAGGTGAGAGGCCCCCGCGGAGCCGCGGAGTTCCCGGCCTGCCGTGCTGGGCGCAGCGGGCTGGGAGCTGCGGGCCCTGAGCCCCTTCCTCGACCCTGGGGCTACGTCTCTGGAGCGAAGTTTCTCTCTGCAGTTTCCTCAGGGACTCGGTCACAGCTCAGAGCCTGGCACTGGCTCGAGAGGCTACCAAGAGCCACTGAGGCAGAGAGTTGGCGAAAAGTTATAGTTGGACCTCACATCCAGCATTTTCTTAACCCATCGCCTCCACCTGAGCTGGGGAAAAAGTAGAGACGAAGGCGGGCCTATTGCCACCTCGAGGCCTCATGGTTGTAGGTTTTCGGTGTCCCTGGCCCTAGTGATTCCCTCCGATCAAGTCAGTTCCTGGTAGATTCCTGCCGGCTCCAGACTTCGGCCGCTCTCCTTACTCCTGCAGGAGCGGGACTTGATACTTAGCCAGAATAGAAAGGAATCTTCGAAGAGAATGGGCCAGGAAAGCTTGATTGCAGCCTCCTTCCCCGCCCCCCTTTGGAGCGAGGACTATGTGTGCTTAAATGTAGAAGCTGCAGGCCGCCCCCACAGGGTGGTTATATTGAAGCCATCCTGCACTGGAGGCTGGTGGTGTGTCAGCCGGGTCAGCCAATATAAGATCTGAATATTCTGAGTGTGTGTGGAGCTCACCCTATGTGGTCCAGAGAGGTGTGGTTCCAGCTTATGGGAGAAATTATTTTGACTTAACTAACTGAGCAATATAGTTTTTACAGAGCTGCACGGTTCTCCAAGTGGAAGAATTGCCAGGGGAGCTGGTTAAAAATGCAAACCCCAGACCTAAGAAATTAAACCCAGGTTTCTGCATCAGGGGCTTCTGATGTAGGTCATCCCCAGACCACTCTTTGGGAAAATCTGCTCTGGACTCTGTTTCTTCTGTAAGTAGGATTGGAAACAGGTTTAAGAAGGAGTTCCTTGCTTCATGTGTTGGGAGATTTATGCAGTATGCTGGGTTCAAAGGCTGCCAAATTGGCAACAGGCCATCTCCAGAAAACTAGGAGATGGACTTTCTCGCACCCTTTTTCCACGATGCCCAGATTTGGCTCTTGCCTTGACTAAAGCGTTTAACTTAGTTATTCCAGGTTAATTGCAGTGTCCTGGAGTTGGTTATATTAGGGAGTTAATGGCTTACATATACGTGAGGGTGTTGGGACATGGGGCTGTGTTCTGAAGTTCTGTTTGTCTTGGAATTTATTTAGCCCTGGCACTAGGTCTCGGTAGCCTGGGTTCAGCTGAGTCAGGGCTCCAGTCTTCAGCAGCTGTAACAGCCTCCAAAGCCAGACTTCACAGTATGAGGTCACTGCTATCTCCACTCTGGACCCTTCCTCTTTCTTCCTTGGTATGGGCCCTGAGGAAACTAGAGACCGTTTGTGGACTTTGTCTCTTGAGATAGCTGTGGTGAGGACAGTGGGCAGATGGTTCCTTTTACTTAAACAGATACCAGGCTTTACATAGGTAACATCCTTTTAGGTCCATTGTGCAGAGGAAGAAGTTAGGGCCTTACAGGTTTAGTTCCCAGCTACTCCTCTTATTCAGAAATCCTGGTTTTAATTTGCTGGTACAGGTGTTTTTTGGGTTTTGGCCTGATCACCTGGCTCCCTGTCTGTGGTTTATTGACTCATGGTTGCAGTTCCTTTGGAGTTTATTGTAGCAAGTAGAATTACATGAGACCTACCAAAGCTCATGTATACCGGAGTCCTATCTTGGACCTTGTAGCAGTATTAAGACATGGATGAAGAGGGAAAGATGCTTTCCCGATGCAGCTTGGACCAGCCTGTTGCAATATTGGACTTTTGGGTGCTTGGGAATAGCATTTTGGTGGCATTAGGTCTGGGGCTGAGATGTGATTAAGCTTCCACTCTCAGGAGGCAGCTCTCTAGTTTCTTCTGTGCTAAGGAGTGGCACCACCCAGGGAAGTGCAGCTGTTCACGCTGCTTTTCTTCTCTGGCACTGTTTGGATAAGGGTGTGCCAGCTATTTGGAGACCTATGCCTCATGTAGCTATTCACACTGATTGCAGGAGGAGCTGTATGTCTTCTATCTTTTCCCACATGCCTGTGATACTGTTTCCAGCACACTAAAGAAAGTCCATTTCATGTTGAATGAATTCAGGTATTTGTTGCCAAGTTAATCCAGATAAGGGTTTGGCCTGCTTTTGAACTTGCTGTTTCTCTATAGTGTCTTTGTAATTCAGCATTCATGTAACTGTGATTGGCCCAGGGCACCTAGTGGCTTTTGCTTTCAAAGGCACTTTATAATGTTTATTGAACTTCATTTTTGCCTTGAGGATAGTTAGTGTTCATAGGAGATCCTGACAGCATGGGAAAGGCTTTTTCAACCTCTGTGCTTCAATAGATGAAAGTACCACTAGGAAGACTGATTCAGAAGCGCTCAATTTGGAATTTTGGCATGCTGCACATTCTAGGTTCTTTTTAACTTGCTCATTCTGGGTTCCTCTTGATTTTAAGGAAGAAAAGACCTGGTTATTTGGCCTGAGGGCATGGCACTTGGCTTGGTTTTAGGAGAGGCTATTTCCTCTTCGCAGAAAGATACCTGCTAATCATTTGTATTGCCTTGAAGAACTTGCTTTACCTCTCTGAGCCTTATTTTCCTTCCTAATAAAACTTCTCTTGCTTTAGAAATCAGTGATATGAATCTGAAAACTCTCCTGTCCAGAGTAGGTGAAAGTGTCTTTATCTTTTTCTTTGATTGACAACCTTTTACATGGAATTAAAAGTAGGGCAGAATATGGCTGCAGAGGGGAAAAAAGCTGTTAGGGGCCTGAGCCTATCAGATTACTAATTCTGTGGACCTAAGGAAGACCCTTTTCTCGGCAGCCTTTCTTTTGGTTGGGGAAGGATTTGGCCTTGGTGAGATAAGAGCTTGAAAGATAGGATGTCTCTGGCTTGCTTAAGGCCACAGGATTTGTTTAGAATTCTGCCGATACTGTCACCTGTACTGTCACCTAAGATACAGGCTTCATTTGAGGGCCCTCTAAGTAGCAGAAGCTTCACAGAGAATTTAGGTAGGTGCTATCCCCATTTTACAGATGAGAAAATACCCAGAGAAAATAATTTGTTCTGAATCACATAGTAGGTGGCACAGCCAGGATTCAAATCCACATCTGTCTTACTTTAAAACCTGGGCTGGCTACTCCATTGTCTAGGACTAAGAACTAGCGGACATAATGTAGGCCCCTTGGCCCCTTTCCTTTCTGGCTGTCTGAGTTGTATTGTGCCAACTTCACTGTATTTTAGAGAAATCTGTTTAGCTGTGAATACATAAAGGCAAAGGAGAGAAGAAAAAGTCCTTTTTGCTGCTGTATCTCTTGGGACTTGGGCAAATTCAACTTTTCATGTGGCAAATCTCTTGGGAAAGCCACTGGGTTTTAAGGGCAGATGTTTAAAGGTAATTCCAAGGTTGTTAAATTTTTGTTCACATGGCTGAATTTTCTTAGTTGTGGGACTGAGATTGCCAGAGATTACATTACTGTCAGTTTCTCACTTTTTCCATTCAGCAAGGGGAAAAAAAAAAAGATTTCCCACACATGCACAAAATTTTCTGTGTATCTAAAAAGCAAATCTAGTTAATGTTCCAAATTTATGAGGATCATGGTCCTCATGGAAGAAGGAAATTCTTAGAACTCAGTTGAAAGGAAAATAGCAGTCTTTTAACCTTTATAGGTTTATGCCCCAGTGTAATGTCGTGTGAGCCTGGGAAAGAGCTGGGGGCATGTTAGCAGTACATCCTTTGTAGTGCTACTCAGTTACCCTTCTTTGATTTCTTGAGGAGAAATAGGAAGACGACAAGTCTGAAGACAAAAGTGCAATGAGTTTCCTGTTGCATTGTCTCATCGGTCCATCTGATCTCAGGCTACAGTTCACTTACAGGAACTAACAGTTATGTTTATTTTTTTTGAGGGCTTGACCTTAGCCATTGGGTCTTTCAGTTATTCTTTTTTCTCCTTTGGATAAAAGATTCTCTCACTTGGCGTTTTGGTGATTTAGAAGATAATGCCCAGGTATGGCCCCTCTTAGCCATTTCCCAAAGGATCTAGGTGCCAGATGTCTTCAGAGTCACTGTGTGAGATGGGAAGCTGGCCTTGAAATCTTAATTCCAAGCTAGAGGAGAGAACAGGCCTGTGTACCTAGATCATTGTTAAGTCACTAGTTCTGGAAAGTAGATTGATGGAGCACTGGAAAGCCTCACTGTGTTTACAGGATAAAGGAGTCAGAGAGGCTACTCTCTGAAGGAAGAAGCATGATGTTCATCTCTGGGGCTGGAATGTAGTATCTTATGTTTGGGAAAAGACCCCCAGTTTGTTAAGTGGAGGGAAGACACATATAGTCTACTAAGTTTTGGGGGAGGACTGGAGGCAGTAGAGGTTTTCAGCTGTTCTGATACCAACCCAAGGTAATTATCTTTTTACTTCTACCCTGCCTTATTGCTTGTCAGCCTGAGATGGGAAAGGTAGCTCCCCTAAAACTTGGTCATCTTAAGGCAGAGGTGTCAATAGAACCTTGGTGGATTTTCTTTCCCTGCTAGGATGGCTCTGGCCTTGTAGAGAGAGGAGCAGGGTTTCACTGCTTTGCAGGCACCTCCTTTGTTGCCATTGGTTCGTTTAACAAATCATATCAAATTCCTACTTATGTGCCACGGGCCGTGTTAGGTGCTGGTGATACAGTAGGAAGTTTCTTCTTTTTGTTTAGCTGGGGGAATGTTCAAGAGAGTAGGTGAGGTTGAATTTTGTGAGTCTGAGAAGTATGGTGCTTGGACCTAAAGGAAATTAGAGAGCATCACACTCCTCTTTTTATGAGCATGTTTCTCCTTTCCAGCCTTCAAACTTTTTGAATGAAAAAACCATACAAAGCAACTAAAGCTGGTATCTTATTTGTGGTAAAGACAATGAAGAATGACTTTCCTAACAGATATCCTGTTTTTTAGACTCTGAGCTTTTCTAAATGAGAAAAAAACATTCTTTGAACTTAATCATCTTATAGAGTTTCTGGCATCTCCCTTGTTTTATGAGGTTTCTCTGAAGTGCTCCCTCGCAGGGAACCGGGCAGCTGTAGCATAGCGCTTTGTTCTAATAATGAGTTAGACTTGGTCTCTTCCCACCACTCTGTACAGTTGAGAAAAAGTCATTTCTGAAAGAAAAACTTTCAGCAAGTTCCTCTATGAGGGTTATGGGAGCTGTTGGGGTGATTAGTGTTTGGTTTCTTTCATTTCACTAGAGCTTAGTAATGGCTGTCTTGCCTTTGTGTCTGGCTTGTTTGGAGCCAGGTGCAGAGGGGTTGGCCTCTTCACTGGGGGGTTATTAGCATTGCCCTGGAAATGCCTCTGGCGATTCTAGGGTCTCTGCTTTTCTTTTATGTTTTGCCTCTGATGTGGTTTCTCTTTGTGTTTTGTCCCCAGCCTCTGACTATGGCATGAAACTGCCAATCCTCCGTTCCAACCCTGAGGACCAGATCTTATATCAAACTGAGCGGTACAATGAGGAGACCTTTGGCTACGAAGTGCCCATCAAGGAGGAGGGGGACTACGTGCTGGTGTTGAAATTTGCCGAGGTCTACTTTGCACAGTCCCAGCAGAAGGTGAGGCCTGGTCAGCCCCGGCCCCTCCCTTGACCAGTGAGACATTGCCACTCTTGAACAGTCCTCTGCTATGGGCCAGAGGGTTTACAAGCCTTCCCAGAAGGGAGGAACAGATGAGCTTTGAGGGAAAAGCTGAGTTCCCTTTACCCCTAAAAAGCTGTGTCCCATTGCTCACGAGGCTACATTTGCCATGGGGTTGGTGACAGAAGGCAATACCAGAATCCCAGCTCTTGGCAACAACCTGATCCTGTTAATGCGCTCCACGCTCTCTCCCTTCTTGGCTATCAGCACTTTCTTGTTTTTAGCCTTGTTCTTTTCCTTCCCTTCCTGTGAATTTCCTTCTTTCCATGTTGAACTTTTTGTATTCTTTGTTCCCTAAGGCCAGTATGAGGCCTCCTTGACAATGAAGGAACATGGACTTGATTTGGCTCAGGTAAAGGACTCTAGCCACCCTAGAGTATATCCAGCCCTATTATTTCTTAAACTATTTTTTAACTTCGAGCCCAGGCGGGTGTATGTTGTCCAGCTGCTGAAAGGGTGTGACGCTGATGGTTTTGACATCATTTCCCTTTTTCATCTTGGAAGGTATTTGATGTGCGATTGAATGGGCATGTTGTGGTAAAGGACTTGGATATCTTTGATCGTGTTGGGCACAGCACAGCTCATGATGAAATCATCCCTATGAGCATCAGAAAAGGGAAGCTGAGCGTCCAGGGCGAGGTATCCACTTTCACAGGGAAACTCTACATCGAATTTGTCAAGGTAATGCTCCTATTCTGCCCTCTCTGCTGAGGAATTCAGAAGAATGGGTTCAGGGGGAATGTCTGCTGCTGTGTGGGGCTGACCACTGTTGCTCATTTCCTAGGGGTACTATGACAATCCCAAAGTCTGTGCACTCTACATCATGGCTGGGACAGTGGATGGTAAGTTGTTTTTTGATCTGCTTTTTTTACTTAGGCTAAAGGATGTTGAGAAAACCCTTGGGGGATAATTTAGTTGCTCACTATTTTGAAAACTTATGTAAAGCCAAATTGTGGAGACTCCAGAGTCAGATGGCCAGGGGTGGAGTGTGGCATGGTGCTGGCCGTAAGCTTTGGAGCAAGGTCTGTGTTTAAATCTTGTTGCTGCCTTTTAATTATCTTTTGGGTTTTGGACAAATTTCTTTAACTTCATTGTAAATTGTGATTAATAATGGTACCTGTTGGTGTATCCTGACCCTTGTAGTCATTTGGAATTGCCTAAAACTTGTCCTTATTGTGTTTCTTTGATATCTATTTCCCGGGGGTGGGGGGAGGCCAAAGGAGGAGTTCTTCGTTGTTTCAGTGTGCTCCTAGAGATTACAGCATTGCCAGACCACACTGGACAGAAGTTCATTTATTAATGTCTCCCTGTCCTTGTGATCCAGCCTCAGGGTATGTTTCTTTCTCAAGGTTGAGATTATGCTGGCTGCCAGCTCCCCAGGCTGATTTTTATGGAGAAAGCTTGTGTCTTAGTGACTTTTCTCCTCATTCCACCTCTTCCTTTCCCCAACTCATCCTGAATGCACTGAGGAGCTCATCTTGTTGTATTTTTTCTTTTTTTTCCTAACCCAAGGGTGTATTTATTGATTTGAGAGAGAGAGGAAGGGGGAGAGAGAGGGAGAGAGATATCAAAAGAGATCGTTATCGGTTGCCTCCTGTATGCACCCTGACTGGGGATTAAACCCACAACCTAGGTATGTGCCCTGACTGGGAATTGAACCCACAACCTTTTGGTATGGGATGATGCTCCAACCAACTGAGCCAACCGGCCAGGGCTCATCCTGTTGTCTTGATCACCCCCATATGCTGATATGATGACACCCAGGAGGATATCTTGCCACCAACAGATTTGTAGCTCAGTCCTTAAGGAAGAGACAGAGCAGAAGGATAGTATGCACTGAGAACCAGAACCCTGTAGGTCAGCTCTTCCTCAGTGCTTTGTGAATCAAAAGGGAATGTGGGATTATGGGAGGGAGGAAGAGGGATTTGAAAAGGTTAAGTTTAGGTGCTGTGTCAGTGTCCCTGTCCAGTCTGTCCTCTTGGGGATCTGGAGAACTAGGACTGGAAGCGGAGATAGTGGCCTTCCCTGTATGCAGGGCTTTTCCTACTTTTTAGTTAAATCTAAAGAAGACAAATGTTTTTAGAAATCTGCCCTTCTCTAGGCCAGAAGCTATTTCTGCTACTTCTGCTCCTTCCTGCGGACCCTGGTTAGGTCATAGCATCTCTTTATTGTGGCTTATCTACTGCTTTTAAGGGTCTTACTTAAAAGGTACCCCTCTTTCTTGCGTCAGATGTACCAAAGCTGCAGCCTCACCCAGGACTGGAGAAGAAGGAAGAGGAGGAAGAGGAAGAAGAATACGATGAAGGATCTAATCTCAAAAGACAGACCAATAAGAACCGGGTGCAGTCAGGGCCCCGCACGCCCAACCCCTATGCCTCGGACAACAGCAGCCTCATGTTTCCCATCCTGGTGGCCTTCGGAGTCTTCATTCCAACCCTCTTCTGCCTCTGCCGGTTGTGAGAACAAATTACCATCCTGAACAGGGTGGAGGGGTGTGGGAAAGAAACCAAACATGCTCGTTTGGCTTCTGTATTTTTCATGGTGATTAACAAAAACAAACAGACAAACAAACAAACAAACTAAAAAACCACAAAAATATTAAAGGAGATAAAAAGAGGCAGAGTGAGTAGAGAGCAGCCCTCGTTCACCACCTGGTCCCAGACCTGCTTCAGCCCTAGTCCTGTCTTTGTGGCTGGCCCCAGCCACCTCTTTCTTCTCTAGGGTACTTAGGGTAACTGGGTCCTGCCTGTGCAAGGATCCTTGTCTGTATACCTAGTGGAAAGGACTCTGAACTTGGAGCAGACACCTTTTTTTAGGTTAGAATTTAACAGCAGGGAAAAGGTCATCTTATTACCTGAGAAGACCAGCTCTGGGAGTTGGGTATGTTCTGAAGTTATGTCCAGATACATTTCCAGATGTCCTGGGATTGAGAGTATGTGTGGTTTGTGTGTGTGTGAAGCTGTATAATTTGTATGATAAAGATGAACACAGAAGGGAGTTTTTAAAAAAGAAAGAAAAGTAGATACTTTCTTACTGGGAAACCTCTCTGGTTTTAGCCCAATAATGGTTCCACCTAAGTGTTTGAACTTTATCATTGCTGTCCCCCCGACATGTGCCAGTTAGAGGACTGTCTGGTATCCAAGACAATTAGTTTATGTCAGGTCCTCAAATTGCCTCTGACTTGTAACCACAGCAAATCATTTTGATTTCAGTGCCTGTTGGGGACTTGTTTTTTCTCTCTCTCTTTTTTTTGTTTCTTAATCTGGCTCATTTGAAATCTCTTCTCTGTCTCAACCATTCACTAAATTATTGCCAAGAAGGGAAGGAGACATGAGAACTTGGGACTCCCTCTGCTTGAATGTCTTATCATCTACCGCTTCACCCTGATGGTACCTCCCTCCCTGGATCTCTGAGCCAGCAGCCAGGAAGACCTGACCCAGCAGTTCTTTTACTGGCCCCTTTGTAGGGTCTTGCTGCCAGGGGACAGAGACGCTTTCCAGCCTGCAGCAACAGAACACTTGACCTTAAGAGTCTCTTCTGGTCTTTGGATTAGAAAAGGCTTATGTTAGCATAATTTAAGAGCAACCTCAAGAGACTTGAGCCCTACTAAGTGACTGACCACTGTTTAGAGTGTCTAGTATCTGATGTTCATTTATTCCTATGTCCTTCTATGTCACAGTTCATCCAGTTTTGGGTTATGCCTAGAGCTGCCCCAGGGAACTAGACTGATTGTCTATATCTGACGCAGTGACACTGCTCACTGGTCTTAATACTATGCCTCTCTATCCTTTCACTTTCCTACCCAAGTAGCAGTCAGGTTCCTGGTGTGACAAGGCTGAAAGATTTCCAGTCTCAGCCGTAATCCTGGCAGCTCTGAAGCCAACCTTAGCATCTAAGTGTGTGTCTTGAGTTCCCTGGAAAATTTTCTGCAGAAAATAAAGCTTCCCTGTTTCCTTCTTTTCTGGTCACTGTCACCCTTCTCCCAGCTACAAGGAGTTTTGTGGATGGAAGGCAGCAGGATTCGCTTCTGCGTGGGCTGGAGCAGCAAAGAATCTCAATCTCAGGCCAGGCCGATTTTTTAAAGAATATGTTTAATTTTGAGTTTGCCTTCTTGGGTATGTTTTGAAAGAGCTCTATCTATTTGAACTACTTGTTATGTGACAAAGTAAGTAGCCCTTGGGCTTATGTCCTGGCTTTGGCTTTTCCTGAGTTCCTCCAATCCAGCATTTCATCCTTTGAGAGTTGCAGCCCTTTGTTTAGCTGCAGCTTAGGCCTCCATGCTAGAGCACTGAGTTGGGCAGCTGGACAGCTGTGGCCTATGGCTGCCATCGGAAGAACACTTTTTGGAGTGCTTTACAAAGCTCCCTGCTTTAAAAGATGTCCTATAACCTTGATCCTGGAACCACCTACCTGGGGGCAGAGGACATCCTGACTATTAATTAGGCTTCTGACAGTGGCTTCGCTCCCCATTCCATCACAACTCCCCAAAGCCACAGGCCACTGCCAATACAGTTGACAAGATGAGGAAGGAAGACTTGCTGCCTCCATTCTGCCTTGTTAATTTGCCTGGGTCTCTCTGAGGAAGGACGGATCCCCACCTCCTCACCTCAACCCATCCCTTCAGTGACTCAGAGTCTCAGAAGGAAACCCTGGCTCCTGGGGCTATTTCCTAACGGTACTGTAAGCCAAGCAGCTTTGCTTCTGCCTCTGTTTCCAAGCCCACCCTTTTCCCCTGAGCTCAGGGATAGGGATGGGCACTTTCCTCTTTGGTTGTGTCTGAAAGGAAGGAACATCTTTCTATGGCTGACAAAAATTAAAGGGGAAATGAGGAAACAGGAAGAAGTGCTGGGGGCTGGGGTAGAGTCCCCGGAGCCAAGGGCTGCTCGCAGCTGGCTCATGATGCTGAACTTGAAAGGTTTTTTTGTGTTTTTTTTTACACTCCAAGATGATATAGGTACATGAAGTTTAGGTTAAAAGGGTGGGATGGGGCACTCTATTTTTATTTTTGTATTATGTGGGTCAGGAATTAGTCTGTAGTTCATCTTTTGCTTTTTGCACTGTTTGTTCCCATGCCTGTATTTTGAGCTAGTGCTAGGACTGAGAGCATGCATTGTAGAGGTCTGACTGGGGTTGGGGGAGTGATGAGTGATGCCAGTTAGGAGTGGGGACGGAGAGGAGGCCTGGGCTCCCCTGCTGGATCCACACTCTTTCCTAGGGCTTTTTAGCTCCCCCTGAGCCCAGTTTGCCAAAGCTAAGAGTAGACAGTCAAGGTGGAACTCCTTTTGCCAGAAGTGTGGCTTCAGTTGTTCTGGGTGGACCACACAAAAATGTCTGCTGAAGATGGGCTGAGCGTCTGTGGTGTAGCTCTGATTTGGGTCAGGGGCCAGCTGGCCTCTAAGGGAACTTTTTTGGGCTTCACTCATGTTGAAACATTGTTCCAGGAAACAATCTGTGGGACCCACAGTCCCCTAAACCAGACCCATTTCTCATAAAAATCTCCACTGTTAAGGAGAAGCTGCTCAGTGGATACCTTGAATTCTGGTAACTAGAAAGATGGTCATCTTCAAGTGTGAGTGGTAGTAGGCACCCAGGAGGACCACAGGGCCTGCAGGGCCACCTGTTGGTTTGAGAGTGTGATCTTACTCTCTTGTTCCCATTGTTTGCTTAAGAGATACTGGCCTGAAATTGGGGATCACATGAGAGGTCACTTAGGCTTTAAAGAGATGGGGCAAAGTTTGAGTTAAGCATACCTTCCTCTTTCTGTGCCTGGGAATTGTTTAACCCAGTTTCAGAATCATGATTTGACTTCTTTATCTTTTTGGAGAAGCTTCCGTTTTAAGAAATTTCTCTTCCTTCATATCCTGCCTCTACCCTTTCCTGGGAAGGCCTGGCCATGGTTTCTGGAATCTCAGTTGAAAGTCAGAAAACAGCAGCAGTATATTCCCTTTCCTAGCACTTATATACCTTTCCCTAAAAATGACTCACCTTGGGAAGCCCAGGGAAAGGATCAGCAGGTTCTCTACCCTCTCTAGGGATTGGGGACAGACCCACCCCGGTCAGCACAGTGCCTTTTCCTCTCCTGCTCTGAGCCAGGGTGGGCATTCCCTCTAGATTCAGGTCTGGGCAGGGGTCTTTCAGTCCCTGCTATGGGGCTGCTTCCCCATCCCATTTTCCCCCTCCCCTTCGCTGGCTGGCTCTGACCTAATTCGTGTCTTCTTTCCTTGAGGAGCCTTAATGGCATCAAGTGGCAACATGTAATATTGTCCTCCATCCCTCTCCAAAAGGATTGAGGAGAGCAGGTGAGCTTTCCAAAATGAAAAACTGATAGATGCTTCAGTTTAAAAAGGGGTGGAGATATGCTTTGGGCCTCCTGCTGTGGCTCTGGGGTAAGAAGCCTCGGCTAAGGCTAGTGATAGTGCAGAAGCAGAACCAGTAACACCGAGGATCTGTTCAGAGATCTCAGAAGAAATCTTCTCTTCTATGGAAAGATGTAATTAGGGATCAAAGAGCTCTAAGAAAATTGCAAAGAAGCCTTAATGTTCAAGCTTCAGAGAGCTCAGAGTAATTTTTCCCTTTCAGGCCAAGCTAGGACTCCCTGTATTGAGCCCTCTCCTGGAGTAAGAGGGCTAGACTTCCTCATTTTGTTACAAGACTAGATTGGCACCAATAGGTCAACTGCCCAGCAAGGGCGGGTTTCTTCTTTGTACATGGGTGGCTTGCTGCCGATCTGGTTTGGCCTTCCCCAGCTGCCTTTTGGCTAGCCTACTTTAGGTTGCCAAATCATTTTGATAAGAGCAGACGATTTGGGGATTGGCTGGGTTGGCAGGAAAAGAGCAGGATAGATATCTCGGGATGGGTTCCCCCCAGGAGTATAAAAACAAGGAGCCAGGATTGTGCTGGCAGCCAGGAAGACAGTAGTGCCTGTTAGAGTTGGCAGAGAAGGCCTTGGCACCTCTTACATCCAGGCAGTCTTGTGAGATGGGGGCACGTTGCACCAGGCAAAGCAGATCTCCGTTCTCACCTCTATTTTGAGCTTCAGTGCTTTACTTCAGTATGAGAAAAAAACAACAACAAACTGAAGTGTGCTTTCAGTTCTTTCAAAGGACAACTGTTGGGAAAGGAGAGCCGAGTTGCCAGGTGGGAGGGGAGAATTGGCAGGGAGAGACAGTACGGTAAAATCTAGGAATGAGACATTCTTGACTCCTCTCTTCCCTGATGTGTCATGATCCAGGGAATGAAAAGAAATTTGACCCTGGGTCAGTTTCCTCCTTGGATTTTTCTTCCACCAAGTTCTCCCATGCTAGGATCAGCTGCCCATTCTGAGCTCAGGGCAGCCTCTTCAACCATTAACCTGGTTTGTGGAGAAGCCAGCCCCACCCCTCCAGATTGGTCCTGGCTGCTCTGTTCTGTACCAAGTACTGGGGAATAGTGTCAAGTTCTTAGTAGCCCCTTGTAGTTTCTACTCTAGATTCCCATCCTCTCCCCGCCAAGGTGAAACGAACTCTGTCTGTAGCCACAACACGCATTTACAGCGGCACAGTGAGATGTGATTGAGGGGCTTTGAACCTGGCTGGCCCGGGAAAGCAGTAGGGGTGGACAGAGCTCTCTTTCCTTCTGGGCTGTCCACCTGTCCCTACCCCTTTCATGCCCCACCCTACCCCCACCAAAAAAGAAAAAATCAGGATGTTTTTCACTGTCCATTGCTTTGTGTTTTAATAAACAATTTGCAGTGACACTCCGTGTTGGGATTGAGTTTGAATTTGATTGCAAAGAGGTGAGGTGATGGGGTGGGAAAAGGGAGACCCAGGGGTTCACTTGGCTGCACAGGGTTCTTCTGTGACGAGTCTAGGAGCTTTTGTCCATTTAGCCAAGTGTCTCTTGCTTTTCTTTTTGCTTGGATGTTTGGCTAAGGAACTGAAGTTCTCTAAAACCATGCCTGGCCAGTTCACCCAACAGCACATTCAAGGAAAAAGAAAGCCATAGCAGGTTTGGTTTAGTGGTTAGAGCATCAGCCTGGAAACTGAAGGGTCCCAGGTTCCATTTTGGCCAGGGGCACATACCTCAGTTGCAGGCTCGATCCCCAGCCCATCCCTGGCCCCAGCTGGGGCGAGTGTGGGAGGCAACCAATCAATGTGTCTCTCTCACATCGATGTTTCTCTCTCTCTCTCTCTCTCTCTTTCAATCTCTCTGAAAAGCAATGGAAAAAAATATCCTTGGGTGGGGATTAAAAAAATAAAAATAAATAAGTAAACATTTCATTTTGTTCCCACTTTCACTGGAACACCAGGCCATGACCGTCTCACTCCTGAAGCACACTGAGCCTGTTTCTGCCTCTCCTCTCCTCTTTCCCTCAGCTTCCACCACAGCCTGTGAGCACACTAAGTCATGGGACTGTTTTCTCTGCTTTTTCCTTTTCTGGTGTATTGTCAGTGTTGAGTATACTTTGGGAAGGGGCAGAAAGAGCAGGAGGGATTTCCCCCCTGTAATTTATCTGCCACGTTTCACAGCTGAGGTACAGAAACTCAAAAAGCTTCAGTGATTTATCCCAGGCTAATCAGTAAGTGGTCAAGCCAGGACTCACACCCAGTCTATCTGCCAGCAAAGCCCGTGTTCTTTTTAAGGCTGTAAGAATAGTAATTATAGATATCCTTTCTTGAGCCCTTGAAATGAATAGGCACAGTGCCAAGCGCTTTTACAGATGTTATCTCTGTTTAATCTTCAACAAACCAGTTGGTTTTAGCCTTTAAGAGGTGACGTTACTCGCCCAAAGCCACACAGCTAGCAGAAGGCAGAGCTGGGGGTTTTACGTGAGTACTGTTGCTCTTAGTCATTACTCTCTACTGCCTCCTGCTTCCCCATGATGCTCTGAAATGGCTCCAGACCCTACCTGCTGTATTCCTCCAGGCAGGAATGGAGGCTGCTGGTTTGGGCAGAGGGAGGGAGAGTTTGGCCTACCTCCCCCAGTTATCCCTTAAAGAGCAGAATTCAGTGCTCAGCTCTAAGAATGAGGCCAGTGTTGATGGAGTCTGTTCTCAGGACCCAAATAAGCCAGGAGGCCCACAGAGCTTCTTTCTTAGCTTGAGCCCACCCATAACTGGAGTTCTTTACCAATTCAGATTTAGCTGTTACTATTTCAAGTAGCTTTGCATGAGCCGCCAAATGGGGAAGAGACCTGAAGAAGCCCTGCTCTAGGGAGTTGCAGGGAGGGAAATTGTCTGACAGAAGATCTTGGGCCAAGTGCTGGGGGTTGGGTTAAACCACTCCTTGGGTCCAGATCTTAATCTTCTAAGGAAATCAGGCTCCCGGTTGGCTGGAGCCGGAGCCGGTGTGTCGGACCTTTCTTCATACTTAGTACCCCACCCCCGCTTCATCCCCCATAGAGGAAGAGGGATGAGTTTTTCCAGCATTTACTGGAAAGTTGTTGCTATAGCAGTGGTGCAGGGTCAAGGCAGAAAGGAGGTGGAGCTAGGAGGCCATGGAGCGGGCTTGCCTCTGCTCTCTAGCAACCTGAGATGGAAGGCACCTCACTGCCGTCCTCTAGCTCAAGAGTTGACTGTTGTTTGTTGCTAGCCACTTGTATTGATAAAAATAACCCCACTTGCTTTTTTGGCTTAGGCCTTGTACTAAGACTTGCTCCCCTGGGTTTCCTCACTGCTTCCACTTGAATCCAGCTGTTGCTTCCTCAAGGCCTGGTCCTCAGCTCGTTTCCTCTTGCTTCCGACTTGAGGGCTCTTTTCAGTCGCTGCACTTTCCAATCCAGCTCCATGGCTTCTCCCTGTCCAGTGTGCCTCCCCTCAGCAGAAAAAGGGGTCCTGGAGAAACAGGCCGCTTAAATACATTGCATTAGCGACCATTCATGAGACACTGTCCACACTGTCCCTAGCACCAGCCTAGTGCTTTTTGTTGCTGTTTTTCATCTCCCCTTCACACCCTTAGGAAAGACGTGTGACTAGCCTGACTTATAAATGAGGAGACAAAGGCTCAGGGGATAAATGACCTGCCCAGAGCCACATAGCTGGTAAGTGGCAGAGTGAGGACTAGAACTCAGTTCTAACTACAAAACCTGTGCTCTTAATGCCACAACATACTATCTTTTTTCTTCTTTTTTTTTTTTTAAGAGAGATCAATGTGAGAAAAACATCAATTGGCTGCTTCCCTTATGCACCCCAACCAGGAATCCAACTGGTGACCTTTTGGTGCATGGGTTGATGCTCAACCCGCTGAGCCACACTGGCCAGGGCATGACATACTATTTTTTTTAAAACATGTTTTTAAAAGATATGTCTTTATTGATTTCAGAGAGAGAGAGAGAGAGAAACATCAATGATGAGTGATTGATTGGCTGCCTCCTGCACTTCCCCCGCAGGGGGTCGAGCCCGAAACCCAGGCATGTGCCCTGACTGGGAATCAAACCTCGATCTCCTGGATCCTAGGTCAGTGCTCAGTTGCTGAGCCACGCAGGCCGGGTATGACATACTATTTTTTAAAAGGAACCTTCTGAATGTAGATAACTGATGAAGCTGAGTGATGGTTACATGGAGTTTTATTATTTTACTCTTTCTCTGCCAAAGAAAGTAACTTTTTAAGACCCAGTGCATAAATACATTTAAAAAAAAATTATATGGTGTGCAAAATGTGAAAACTTATCTTTCTTGTTCCTACTACTTTAATCCCTAGAGGATAACATGGGTGACAGTTTGGTGTGTATCTTTTATACATTTATGTATTTAAATATATATGTACATATACACGTTTATACTTAAATGTTTTTATTGCGCACATGTGCAAATGTTTCTTTAGAATTCCATTAAGGAATTACTGGATCAAACAGTATATGCTTTTAAAATTTTGAAAGTACTGCCCCCGACAGGGCTACATGAATTTTCATTCACCAATCTTGTGCTATATGACTTTGGAATATGCCAGAAGTCCTGTTTGGAAACAGGAGGGATATAAATAATACATTCATGCTTTTTCAAAATAGCCCTCAGTCAAGGAAAGAAGTGACTTGGGTACTAGGGAAGGTATTAGCTTTGGGCATTCCTGACCCCCCAGCCAGGACTCACTAATGCAGTGCAGGCCAGGGAGGGGGAGGAAGGAGGACTGAACTTCCAGCTTCTGCAGAAAAAAAGCCCTCTGATATCTTGCTTACCTTGGCTGCACCAGCTCCAGGCCCCACCTGCCTGGCCTGATTTGAGGCAGACTGCCTGAGTACTCTCGGACTGCCCTGGAAAACAGGCACTGTCACATCTCTCACAGAAAACAAACAATGAAGGAATAGGACTGGCAGAGCACCCAGCCCGGGTGAAAGGGAAGCCAGCCTTTTTACTTCAGTCCTCCCGGATCTAGCCCAGGGAAACCTTGGGGTTATTCTTAATGTGGTAAATCTCAATTTTCCTTTTTCCTTCAAATGGAGTGTTAGTATATGTACTTTTCAAAAAACTTAATTTTTTTGCATTCTTTTTTCATCTTTATTTCTTGATTTACAAATTTACAACATATATAATTTGTCTTCCAGATTATCTCTGTCAACAATTTTATCAAATGATTGTGTGGTGCACTGAGAAACTTTCTTAAAAGAGCCTTTTGACATACCTTAAGGAAATTGGAGGTTCCGGTCCTAATTTTTCCTACGCCTTTTTAAAAAAGGGGTATATAAATATATTTTTTCTTTTTTCTATATTTTCTGTTTTCCTAAAGACATAGTCTTTTCCTTTTAACCACAATTCATAGGTAGTGACTAGAGAGACTACAGGCCCCAAGTCCCTTATATGGCAGTATTTATTTAATTTTTTTTTAACAGAAAAAAGTGATTGAGATTGAGGTTGCTTTTAATTTTAAGAGAAAATAAGGCTACTTTGGCTTAGCCTCTGCCTTCCAGAAATAGATCCTAAGATTCTTTTTATATAAATACACAAGCAGCCCTTGATCCTATGCTTGTTGTGATAAAATAGTACAGAAGTAGCTCTAAATAGTGTCACAAGTGAATAAATTCCCGTTTAGTCCCTTCCAGTGCTCTCCTTCCCAGAGGGAACCATACTTAACACTTTATATCTAAACCCCTTCCTTTGCAGTTACAAATACACATCTGCATATTTATATACTTTTTATTTTAAACAAATGGGATTCTATTTTCCTGCCCCTCTTAATATATCTTTGAGATCTCTCCAAACTAGTGCATATAGATAGATGGCATTCTTTTTAACAGCTGCATAACATGAATGCAATTATGAATTTATGGTAATTTTTTATTTTTATTTTTTATTTTGTTAATCCTCACCTGAAGATCTTTTTTTCATTGGTTTTTAGAGAGATTGGAAGGAGAGGGAGGGAGGAAGGGGGGAGAGAGAGAGAAGCATCCATGTGAGACACATCAATTTGTTGCCTCCCGCATATGCCCTGACCAGGGTCAGGGCACGAACCTGCAATGGAGGCACATGCCCTTGACTGGAAATCGAACCCGATGCTCTAACCACTGAGCAACACTGGCCAGGGCAATGGTAATATTTTACGGGTCCAGCACGCTTCCGCTGTGCAACTCTGCTGGTAATACTTTTAAATGTTACAAATGGTACTGCAGTAAAAAAATCTTTGTGCTTACATGTAGGCTAAGTTCCTGGATGTGGAATTGCAGGTAAAGGGGTTAATACATTTGTTATCCCTAGAAAGAGAAAAGTTGGGTCCAGGTACGTAACTCTAGTCCTGGTGCCCTAAGAACAAAGACCCAGTGAGCAAGTAAGTGGGAAGTGGATGCATGTGAAGCCCCCCTCTTGGTGATTCACAATCAAGTAGCATATTAAAAGTTCTGGAAATTCTTTAGTAACCACTCACTGCTGAGTGGTTTAAAAGAGTTGTTTGCAGAGGGAAAGACTTTAATTCTTTGTACACATCTATTAAAATTTGCCCAAAAGGTTCAGTAAGTGCCACCCAGTGGTAAGCTCTGAAAGACAGGACAGCATTTATGTAGGAACTTGGCCACATACTATCCCACGAGGCTGGGCAACTGGGGTGGAGTCAGGTTTGGATTTTGTCCAAGAACCAGGCTAGGCCTGTCAACCCCTCCCAAGGCCCTCCCATCAGGTGAGAGACACCCAGCAAGTCTTGAGACTTGACTATGGGGAGAGGGGAGAGTTTCACTCTAGCCTAACTGAGAGGTGAAATCAGACTTAGCAGACACACTGCATCAGTCAGGCCCAGGCCTCCAACTCATTCATTCATCCAATCAATAATCACTATTAGGGATCCCTAGAGAAGGAGCCACTTGGGGTATAAAAGGCGGCATTCCCCCACCCCTACCCACTTCCAACTGGTGAAATTATGGTTAACTTTCTAGGTTCCATGCAGAAGCCACCATGAAGCCTCCTCCTGATCCCCCAGACCACTCCTGTGTACGCGGGTAACACCTTTGCTGTATGTTCCTCTTACAGCAGTCAGCCCTCTGGTTTGTCCTCTGGTTCATTCACACCTACTGGGCTGGCCAAGAGGATGGGTCACAAAATGAATTATGTACTCCACAGTCTTCCCCAAAAAACTGGGAGCTCCTCCACAGCCGGGTGCTCTTCAGGCTTTCCTTCACTCATTCATTCATCCAGTCAATAATCACTATAGGGGACCTACGCTGTGTGTCAGTCAATAGCTAGACTACCCAATACCGCAAATCCCTCACCTTGTTCATCTTATATTCCCTGTAGTCCAGCCCAGTGTCTAGCCCAAGGGGTTTAGGAATGACTGTAATTGGAAAAGCTGCCTCTGCATAACAAGCACTTTAAACTTACCTTGTATGCTACAGATTAAAAAACATTTTCTCAAGATGTCCACAATTTGTATGACAGTCATTTGACCGTACGAGGTATTTTAAAAAAAACACCTGGGGTGCCCTGGGGGGTCTGGTAGAGTACAGGGTACTAAATCCCCAGGCACCCCTAGGGCCCACCACCTGGCTGGAACGGAGCTGGCGAAGGGCTGCCCCGCAGGCCCCGCCTCTGCCCTCCCCAGGTGCCGCCCCGGCCACGCCCCCGCTCTCCATAGTTACGGCGCTGTGGAGGCGGCGGCCATCTTGGCGGCGGAGCGATGAGCGGGTCGAACCCGAAGGCGGCGGGCGCGGGGTCGACGGCTGGGCCGCGGGGGCTGCTGGCTGGCAAGGAGGAGAAGAAGAAGGCGGGCGGCGGCGTCCTGAACCGGCTCAAGGCGCGGCGGCAGGCGCCCCACCACGCGGCTGACGACGGCCTCGGGGCAGCGGTCACGGAGCAGGAGCTGCTGGCTCTGGACGCCATCCGGCCCGAGCACGTCCTGCGCCTCAGCCGGGTCACCGAGAGTGAGTGCGGGGCGGCCGCGCC